GTTATAATTATTATATTTTTTACATTGCCTCTTCAATTAGGGTTGAGACATTGTACAGATAAGAACTGTCACTCACTGTAAACCATTGTGTTTACTTACTTTATGGTAGAACACTGAAAGTCAACCTTTTGCAACACATTGTTTCTGGCAAATTAATAAAGAAGAAAAAAAATCCACACTAATTAATCCGGTCTATATTTCAATCAGCAGTTTTTGAAAAGTAATTTGTGGCAATGTTTTGTTTCCATTCTCAGAGAAGCTGGTCACAGAAAATTGAAATGTATTTTTGCTGGTTTGTATTGAATTTACTCATGGCTCCGAACAATGAGCGGCTAGACGACAAGCGACATCAATAAAATTACCCAAAGAACATAACAGCATTACATTCATGCGCTGAATCAAATCTAATCTTATTGTGCCATTGGTGACTCACTATTTCTATTTCTGTCCACATGGAGACGGATATACTGTTCAAGGTCTCAAAAAAGCAAGGTTTTGACAGCGCTGGAAGGATCTATCAAATCAATCTGAAATGTAAATCCCAGGCCCACATTAAAAAGCACCAGATTAAGTATGCATTTCCATCATCTGGATTTGATAGAATTGGGTTATGTGATCACTCATCTTTGGCAGACAGCTTTGACAGAAGAGGGAAATAGAAGTTGTACTGTTCTTTGAAGTTGTTTGAAGAGTAAAAAGTGGTTTGATAAAACTAATTTCTATTCTGTGGTCACTGGTTCTTGTAGCATTTGAGTGCCAGTAAATCAGTTTCTATTTAGTACTATATAATGTAAATACAATATCTTTAAATAAATGCAGACATGTCACAATAACAAACTTCAACGCACCACATATTGCTACAGAAAGATACTGAGACACTTTTGTATAAACTTACTGGGCTATGCAATGGAATATGAAGTTTTACTGGAGACTGAATCTTCATCTCTTGTGTCTATTTTGTTTGTTTTGTTTGGGGCAAAGTTTAATTGTTCTGGGTTGGCTTTTATAGAGGATTTTGTAATTGTCTTTGTCTGTCTGTGTTATTTGCCTGGGGACATTATGGAAATTATGATCTAATATTTACATTGTAATTACAGATGTTCATGAATATGCACAGTCGCTATCAAATAAAGGAATAAATAAAATGGAGATTTAGTTAACTGCCATTAATTAAAAGTCTGCATTGTTATTTGTTTATTTGTAATTTAATTTCACCCGCCCCTACTTACCGATACCGTTAAAGGTGCACAGTGTAACATTTCTAGTAGATTAAATCTAGCTATCACAAGAGAGACACACAGGGTACAGCACTACACTGCATTACAATTCAGATCTGTGGAGAGTCGTCCTATTCAGAGGGAATTATTGTATTTTTTGGGCAATAGAAACACCCGCAATGAATAAATGCTAGATTGATATGTTCAGGCAAAGCAATAACATCTCCATGGAGACAAGCAGGTTGAGGACAGTTACACAATGCAGCTTTAATTATACAATTTCACATTTGTCAGTTACACCAAGTATTTCTCATTGAAGTCTGAAGTGTCCCCATTCTCATTTGTTTCCTTTTGATATATAAACTTTTCTAACTCCTTCACACAAACACAATAAAATGCTTATTCTTCCAACTTGTCGAGAGTGAAAATTACACCAGTTAAACACTATGGTTATGTTTTTGTAGCTTCGAGTGACTTCAAACCCACTGTATTTGAGCACTTGAAAACACAACACAAGAGCTCGGTTGCACAGATAGAATAGTCCACTGTTCCAGCTCGGCAGTATTATCAGATGTATTAGAGTTGAGGGTCTCTGTCTGTCCCGATGTTATCTGCAGATGAATGCTGTTCCAAGCTGCTCTGAACAAGGCCCTGTACGTTCCCCTCACAAGACTCCACATTTATTCTGAGCGCTGTGACATACTACCTGTCTCCCCCCGCTCCCATAACCCTGCTAAGTCCTTCTGATTTGTCTTTGTCGGTTTTCTTCCAACTTTAAATTCCCCTGTTCAGTTCGGACGCCTTCAGGTGCCTTCTTTTTCTCTTTAACTTTACATTATCATACGTTTGTGGGGTAATTTTCCTTCTCGTCTTGGCTCTGTCCCGGGCTGATTCCATTTTCTCTGAACACATCTATTTTCTCTGGAGTGGCACAGCTTGGATCGGGTCAGTGCAGGTGAGTTTCTATTACCAAAAAGGGTCAAAGTGTCCCCGGAAAAGCGTGTGGAATGGACAGCAGAATTTTCAACATAGGAAAGATGTGAAAGAAAATTTACCATACAATAATTTAATCAGAATAATATTCAATAAGAGCATTTCTTGGTTACTTGTATATATTTCCCCTGTCTGAATAAATGTAGGCTTGATTTGGGATTTGCTATAAAATGATGCAAAAACAGGCCAAGGAACACAGTTAAAGGTGCACTATGTAACTTTTCTAGAGGGGGTCAGTCACCTGCTTGTCTCCTTGGAGATGTTATTGCTTTTGCCTGGAGAATGTTTCACAGTATGGCTTATCTATCTTCTTGGTGACATTCAGGTGAAGCCACCCGGCCATATTACAGGCTATATCTGTGGAGAGGTGAGCTCTACATATCAAGAGATTTCTGAGCAGTAAAAACACCTGGAATTGAATAAAACCTGATTTAATGCCATACTGTAGAACATTACAGAGGAGTCAATTACACAAAGCAGCTGTGGAAAATGTAAAAAAAAAAAAAAAAAAAAAAAAAGTGAAAAATGAACAAATATAGTTGAGCTACATAGTTATAGATAAAATGGTCAAAATGGAAATACACAAGGAAGGGCATCAGAGTTAAAATGTTCAAATTAATATACAAATACAGCCTGCTACAAGAAACAAATGCATATCTTTTTAATCTGTACAATTGCATAGTAGACCTTAAGTATATGTGTCTTAAAGCGGAAATTTATCCTTCTTTAGCAGCTTGATCCTATTTCTTCAGATGGGATGAAAGTTTCCCATTGCTTAGGTGTTGTGATCCAGAGAGCTTAACATTTAATAGGGCCTCTGTTTCTTAATAGCATGGCTTTCTTTTATCTGATCCCACAACAAACCCAGGGTCCATCGGGTCGGAGAGGCCTGCTTTGTGCCTGTTGCTTATCTGATGCTGAAGTGAAGTGCAGCCCACACACTTTAAGATGATTCACTTATCTGATGGAGACTCTGCAAAACTAAAGGACAGTTATGCACTAAATCAAAAGTTAGGGACATCAACGTTGTTTTATTCATGGCTTTTATGCTAAGATCTCGAAAAGTTTGACAGCAGTTCAAAACTTTAGACCAATAAAAATTACAATACCAATTTGTTTTCCTTATCGTTTGACATTAATAAGCACCTTTAAGCATTTTGTCGTGGCCACTTAAGATCAGATAAAAGGGCTTCACTCTATATGCAAATACTGCCTTATCCGGCCCATCTAAAACAATGTCTGTCCTTTTACCGTTGTAGTAAAAAAGAAAAATAATCAGGTAAGCAGCATGTATAAGGAAAAAGTTTTATTCTAACTCAATAGTTCTGTCAAGACCCATCTCTAAGTGCGTCTTTGCAATGGCAGATTTTAAATGGGGTAGTCAGTCAGAGGTAATGTCAGCAAGTCCAGTGTTTTTCATTGACAGAAGAAGTATGAGACAAAAAGTAGTAGATTTAAATGATCTTTTAAGGGAGGAAAGCAAAACAGGGACTAAATTTGGAGGAAATGTGGATGAAGAGAAAGCACCAGAAAAACAGGCATATATGCACTATTCATAATGCAAGATAGGGTCATCTAGCTTGATTCATCAGCTGGTTTCACTTCATGGAAACTGTCTGACCTTAAGGTTCCGTTAGGATGGGATAGGATTAAGATTTAGGATGACCATTAGGATTCGTTCACTCAGCGGTACTTTTAGTTTATTTAACCAATTCCTGCGATTTGGTTGTGATGTATGTAATGTGGCTAGGCTAGCTGTGAGTGGATGACTGGCCACTGACGTTTGAGAAATTTCTTCTCATCTTTTACGCACTTTACCTGCATTTAATGCATATGACTTATTAAAATGTATCTCACTCACTAATGTTAATTTAGAATCATAACTTATTTTATTAGACAGTGATAAACTGTTTTAGTGCGTTGACAACATTTCTAGTTAGTGCTGTAACTTCATGTTAACTGCGCAGACAGCGGCGCTTTCTGCACTCAGACTGCGCACGCATCTGCTGTGTTTCCAAACAAATAATCCACCTACTGGGTCTCCACCTGCTTGTCTCCATGGAGATGGTATTACTTTGTTTGAAATGTTTCACAGTGTGGCATTAGACTTATCCATCTTCCATTCAGTCAGTTATGGGTGTTTTTATTCCTCAAAGAACTTGTACATCCATGTGGGGCATCCTTTGCACAGATCTGACCAGTATCTTGGTCTGGTAGTCTGATAACATCTAATGCTTGTTTCCATGGAGATAGTTAAGTTTAACACCATAATGTGACCCATTCCAAGCAAAGCAAATACATCGCCACAGAGACAAAAATGTAGGCGGACCCTCCACCAGAAAACTTACATAGTGCACCTTTAAACAAGCATAAAACTGGATATTTAATTAAGCAGACAGCAAAAAACAGAACTAGCATTAGTAATTTTTTGTTTTGTGATAACACTGATGCAAGTATGAGAACTCTGCAACTCTGCAAATGTGCAACCCAAGAGTTAAGCTTAAAAACATGTTTTGAGAGCTAAATATCCCTGTGTATTAATCATGTAAGCTCTTCTGATCATTCTGGGAAAAAAACAAAAACAAATAATATAATAATATATATATATAATATAAAATACACTGGTATGTTAGCATGTATTGAACACGCTACATTCATTAAATACATTCAAGTACATTGCATTAGAAGTAGAATGTCTTGCTTGATGCTTTCAAAAAGAAATGTATCTCAGATTCATTATAAAAGCCATGATATTCCCATGTATGTATATGTATTGCCTGTGACCCTTACCATGCTCATGCTGTTGACCTGATCCAGGGTCAGTTTGAGCAGCTCCTTATCTCCGCTCTCTGCCATCAGCTTGAGGGCAGACTGCTGTAGACTGGGCTGCTCCAGCAACGCCGTGACTATGCTCTTGACGCACTACAGGAAGGACAATGGGAAGATTAGGGCCAAGATATGGGTCCAGAAAGATAAAGGAAAAAGCATTCAAAGCAACCCAAGCCAGATGAAAAGGCAGACATGTAATCAGAGAAAGAAGGGACAAAAAAAAAAGAAAAAAAGAGGCGGAGGTGGAGTGGAGGAACAGTAAAGGTTAATCGATGTGCATATATACAGTGCGTACACGTAGCCACATAATATGTCTAAAAGGTCTACTACACAAGCAGCAAACACACAGAGGCATCCTGTAATATATGGATATCACAATGCAATCTGACTCCCCCCATGCTCCGCCGGTTTCATTCCAGCAGATTCAAATTAAAGCTGTTCTGAGCAGAGTAAAAGGCCTTCCTCTGCTTCCTCCCACCCCCCACCCCCCACCCCCCCGCTGCTCCTCTTCCTCCTCTGCCACACTAATATTAGAGACAGCCGAGTCGACGCTAGCCCATTCACGCTGAATAGCATTAGCGCTAAACTAATATCACAGTCAGCTGCTGCTAGACACATACAGAATGTCATTAGGCGAACCAGTGCTCAGTGGGGCATGGATAGTATCGGGGGGCAGGTTTCAAAGCTGTGGATAAGGCCTATAGTATGTTGAGCTAGCATGTTGCCCCGGGTTACATGCTTAATAGTGTTCTTCTATATTAAAATGCTGAGCTCTATACAGCTGCCCACGGTCTGGTATTTTTCACTCCAAGCATGACAACAGAGCTATAGCATGTTAAAGGGTGTACATGCAGTTTCATGAATACACAATGTGAATTACCTGAGCCGGGAGCTTGTGCTTGGTGTTGTATAGCGACCGGACCATGGTGACGAACCTGCTGACCGAGATCCAATGCGACCTCTGACCCCTGACAGCGTGTCAGCACGGCGGAGGTCAGCACCACCCATGGGTTACGATCCGTTGCCGCTCTGGGAAATGAGAGGAGGCAGAGGCATGGTCAGGCTGTGATGGAGCGAGTTTAGCTTTCATCAGCAGTTATTGAGCAGCACAAACAGAAACAGAGAAATAAAATATAGGAATTGTGATGAAACGGCAGACAGAGCAAGTTTTTATCCCCTTTTCATTTCCATAGTTTTACATCCAGGAATCAGACTGATTGCTTGTTGATTTGTTGTTATCAGACTTCGTGCGGAACCAACCAACAATACATCTCCCACATAACACTCAATACTTCAAAAAGTACATTCACTAGGCCTCTCCTGCTGCCAACTTTAATGCCATACTGCGGAATATTCCAGGCTAAGCAGCAATATTGGTGGCTGAGTGGCTGAGTAGGGTTCGACTCTTGGATTTTCCTATGCAGTTTGCATCTTTCTCCTTCTGTCTGGGTGGTTTTCCTGAATGTACCCTGGTTTCCCCCTCTACCCAAAATATGCAAGTAAAATCCTACAGCAGGTAGTCCTGACCAAGCCTAGCTCAAGATCTAGAGATGGAACCTGCCGATTGAAGGATGGGTCAAATATAAAGGACTAATTTCCCTATGGAGACGATAAAGTGCACCTTAATGTTAACATCTCCATGGAGATAAACAGGTAGCAGACTATCCATCAGAAAAAGTTACACATTTTCATATTTGATATGAATTCTATTTAGACTATTTAAATTTGTTTATACAACTCCAGCTGAATTTAGAATGCATTGTGATTTGCATCTGATGTAGAAAATGAAGCATGAAAAAGAGAATTTTTGAGTGATTTAGCTTTATGCAATATACCATCATTTCATTCAGTCTTCTATAACCTAATGCATACAGTATTTTGTTAGTACCTAAGACCTGATCACACCATAGTCCTGCATATAAAAAAGAAATGTTAACGCTAATATAATAACAGTTTGACAGAGCTGTTGATGCGCCGTCACTTCCAATAACACTGTGAAAAGCAGAGCCCAGAAGAGCCGCACAGTTAATAGCTCACACCTCCAGAGTTGATTTCCACCAAACACTGGGGATGGCTCGGAGCGATGGCAAGTGTCAGTTTGTTTACAGACATCTACATGCGCTCCTGTACAGCTCCAGTAATGTCTCCAATAGAAACTGATTAGCCTTTACCATAGCATTGCAAATGTCAACTGTGAAAAGGCAATAAAAACATCATCCTTACATCTGCGGAGGTCATGGGGTTATTTTAGCCCACTGCTGTCAGGACATCAGGAGGCAGGTTGAGCCATGGGAACAACGCAAGGCAATAAGTAAGAGCATTTTTTTTCTAAGATGTCTATTGGATTCAATTAGGAGCATAACCAAGGTTAAAATATGCGCTCCACTAAGTACCCTTGTAGTTATTAATACATCAGTCAAAAGAAGGAGGTAGTTCATTATCTGTTAATTATATCTTAGCTGAGTGATCGATCCTATGGAAGAGATTTATTTTATTAATTAACATTCATTATTATTCACTTTGGATGGCAGTATCGCCTGTCTATCTCATATCCCTATTCTCCGGAGGCGGTTTTGGGGCTGGGCCAATGATTGTGTGCCTATAATTGCAAACTAGATTATTGTTTTAGCAGTGAAGAGGAACCAAGCCAAAAATTAAGTCTCCAACCTGGGACACGCTCTTCATTGTATCCTTGTAACCTCTTTCTTTCCAGTTTGTGATTCATTTTTTCTAAATTAGATAATGATTATAATTGTGACAGGGTTGACAATTAGAAGAAGGTGATCACATCAAATTTTGAAACACTAAAACATGAAGTCTAAGGTGAAATAAAAATAAATAATTACAGTTTCTATTCAAAAGAAAATGGACTCACCTATTAAGTAATTTTAAGATGTGGTGTGTAACTTGTGAAGGGTTTTTGCTTTGCCTACAATGTTCCACAGAGAGGCAAAGGTGACACCATAAGGAGAAGCTAGAGTGTCTGCCACCTGTTTTCTCAATGGAAATTCCTCAATGAAAATGTGATTGCTTTTTTTTAGAATGTTCCACAATGCATTACAGTTCACATCTGTGGAGAGTCACTGCTATTCACATGAGGAAATATTGTATTTTTGAGCAATTGAAACTTGTATGAAAAATGCTAGATGGATATGTTTAATGTCATACCAACATTCCAGGCAAAGCAATAATATGTGGCGGACCCTCCACCAAAAAACTTGCACAGTACACCTTTAAAATGTTTTCCTCAATAGTTTAATGTAAACACAGCATTGTCTACAACTAGTACACGAAGTACACAACTAATATTTGCATTAAAAATAGCATGTTTTCCTAGTGTAATCCATCTAAGCAGCGGTAAACCAAAAGCGATGGGGAGAGACGAGACAGGAGGTGAAGTGAGGAGATGCCATCTGAGGTGACTGCTTTTGTGGAGCCCACACACCAGTATAATAAGCAGATGGCAACATGCTGATAAAGCCTGCCTGAGAGGAATGCAATGTTTAAAGCTAAGATTAGCCCACTTAAGTGTGGCTTAAAGAGGTGCTCACATATATGGCAAGAGCGTACGGTGTGGTTTCGAGTGAGTGGGTGAGTGGGCCAAGGCGAAGGGGAGGATTTGGAGAAGAGGTGAAGATGGAGGGGAGAAAACAGGACCCCGGGATGAGCCATCCCAAACCACTTCACCTACAAGGGATGAAACAAGAGAGCAGCTGTGTTCTTACTATGATAGAAACTGTAGAGGGGGATGTGCTGTATGGATCTGTATTTGTCTTACCCTTGAATTAAATACGCCTGAATTGGAGCTTGCCATGTTTACAAAGGTGCACGATTTTTCTAGTGCATCTGACATATAGAGGACAATTCTTTGATTGGACTATTAAAAAGTATGGCATTTCACTTACTTCACTTAGATAAATTGTTTATCCATCGCCAAGGAGACAAGGAAGTGGTGCCATAAAGTCAAGCTACGGGTGAAGAATTCCATTTATTTTTAAAACTTTCCCTCAAATTCTTACCAATAGTGTAAATACGAACAAAACACACATTTCCATAAACACCAGCAATGACAGATACTGTGGAATACTCCAAACAAAGCAATAACATATAGGACAAATAGATGACGGATCCACAACCAGAAAAAGGTGCATAGTGCATCTTTAAGTGACTTTTGTTGTACACATAGACTGTATAAATAGACATGGCTAACTCACTAGTTGCTGCATTCCAAACAGAAAGTGAGCATGGGGGTGCTTCCGACTCCATCAACTCTGGCCAATTGACTATACATAGAAAAATGATCACTCCTCTCTCTGTAACTGCTGCTGTGAGCCTTGTCATTTTGGTCTTAAAATGTTTGTATTAGCCAGCTCTACATGATCATGGTGTTTTTATTCAGCTATTTTATCGATAAATCAATTCCTATTCCTAATATGGAACTGGCTCCAAGTTCACCCCTATAACTGCTATCAAACGCTATGGGTGACACCTACACACTCCCTTAGTCCACTCTATGGTTGTACAAGGTAAAAAGTTTAATTGTTGGTGACCTAGATTGTGTATTATTTGGTCTTGCTCTCCAGTTAGTGTTTTATTTATTGTAATTTAGAAATGTCATTAGCTGAAAATATCAAAATAATTGCTCAAGTACAATGTGTTTAGATGTGTTCTATGCATTAGGAACATTTTTGTTGCACTGCTAAAATATGACAATCATTTCTATAAAACCGTTAGTAACTTCAGTATTGTCCATAGCTGCTCCAAAACTAACTTTGAAATACAGACTTTTCATTTAACATTCCATCAGTGTGCCCTGTGTTGCTCTGTGGGCCAGTCACCAGTGCCCCTCTCTGTGTTGTGCTCCTCTATATGAGCGACTGTGAGGGGGCCAACAGTGTCCCGGGGTCCCAGCCAGCCTCACCGTGCTCAGAATCATGACAGGGCTTATGTAGCTTCACTAAAGGATAGTAAAACGGCTTCATAATACTGCCTCTTGTGGTCTCACACTGATCAGCTCCTGACAGACAGTAACCAGCCATGATTTAACGCTGAGTCAACAACTGCTTATGTCAATAAAGTTTGCTTCCTGTCTCCTGAGATGATGACAAGAATGTTATGTAAAGGCAACATAAAATAATTGAACAAGAGGCAATAACTTTGAATAAACATGGAAATTTGAGAAAAAAAGTGTGAAGTGAAGAAGGTCTGGAAGTGAGTGGACATCTGCTAAGGCACTGATGGCATCTCACAATAGTTAGAGTGGCCAGTGTAAATTCACATTCAGGTAGCACCTTAATTCTCTAAAAGAAAAAAAAAAGTTAAATCTTTTATTTCATTTTTCAGGTGTAAAAAGACATTAAAGTCAGTTGAAGGAAGTGGTTCCCGTGGAGAGGATGACTCTGCAGCTGTGCTCTCGGTCAGTGGAGCAGTGGCAGGATCCCACAGTGAACTTGAACCAACTGGAGCTAATCCCAGCTCTCCCGTTGCTCCATTCAAAAGTGCACAGACAGAGGCACTTTTGAATGGAGCACTGTACTGCAGGGTACAAACGCAATGCCATACAGGGAGGCTTTGAATTATACAACTTTATATACGACTTATTTCACATGACTGAGATACTAGGACATGGGATGAGAGCTAATGAGACTGGGCATTGGCAAGCAAGTACTGTATATTATATACTGATACTATTTGTACATTTAGCAACTTGTATTGAAGGACTTGCCATTATATTCTTATTTTTTTACTGTCAGCTGCGCTGGAGATTTAATGCCAGTGAACTGTATAAAAGTTCAGGGAGCTTTACAATTTAATTGCGGCATTTGAATGTACATACCAAATCTTATATCATAAAGAAATGTAGTACATAACTTTTTCCAAGACTCTGTCCCTGACACAGATGGAGCCCATGCTCAAAGCTGAGTTACACAGTGTGCAGATATGTGCCTGTGCCCATCTCCCCTCTCCTCCTTGAGACAAACACTTTAAATTGCAGATCGAAGCTGCCTGATGCTGTGTGCTTTGATTGAGCTGGAAGGATTAACTCCTGATAGCAGCGCCGCGTAGTTCCCCCGAGTGATGCACACTTTTAATGGAGAACAATGGAGCGGCGGAGGAGCAATCACACCATTAGGCACTTATCGATAATCCTGGCAGCTCCCAATGCTCCAGCTGCTGTCGGAAGCCCCCAGCCTCCTGCCTGTTGTGAAGAATCCTTTCTCCAACTTTTCAAAGGCTCCGTGCAACATGTGCCCCGCCGTGATTAGATAGTTCAATCCTAACCTTTGCCAGACGAAAGCACAAAGCTCCAAAGTTGTCATTAAAATGTAAATGTATCCCTATTGTTAACGAAGTCACCGCTGTGAACGGAAGATAGTTATGATTTTACCCCTGGGTCCCTTTTTTGAGGCAGGCGTTAATGAAGAGTAAACAGAGCCAGAGGAACAAATGGTGGACCCTTCTGCTGCACAACAAAGGAACAGACGTGGAAGAGCAAAGTGAATGGACTTACACGTCGTCTTTGATCATGGGGGGCCAGGCTTGGAGCAGGACAATGATCACCTGGAAGTCCTCCCACTTTTGGGCCGATCCGAGCAGCTCCAGGAACAAGGCGTATCTTTTATCTTCATTCTCCACATCTTCAATCTGGAACTGTAAAGAAAATAGCTTTGTTAACTATTCATGTATCAGTCTGGTGTATTAGCTTTATCTATTTCAACATTTAGATTTCGATCAGTGTTTCCCAAAAGTCTAAAACAAACTGAGGAATAAATTTGTATTAAAAACGATACATTTTGATTGTTGCTTGGACTGCTAGTGCTAAGAACATGTGTCCTGAAACCTGTGAAACTGACAAAAGGAAATGGAAATGTCTTAGTAGCTCACCCTGTAAGAACTGAGCGTACCACATCATGGCACAACCCTTGTTTGACTCTATAATAGCTTTCAGAGTTTTTACTTAAAATTCTTCACCAAACTAGACAACTCACTCATTATCTGGAACACTAAATTATTATAATGTGTCTTAGGAACTAACTGTGTGGTGCACAAAGCACCCATGACCCAAAATAGTCTATTTGACTAAACTATTTGAGCAGTGCTTTTATGAAAAAGTGGTACACGTGCTTCATTTTAAATACATCATACATCTACACCAACTAGAGACTGGCTTTCATTGGAGATATACATTGGTAAATCCATGTTTAAAGGGGGTATTTTATTTCTATGGGGTACTAACTGCAAACACATAACATACTAGTATTTAGATCACCATGCTACCTTTAATTGGTGCTATATTTGCCAAAAACTATGAATTAACATATAAACATCACCCCTCCTTTTCCCGTCCTGTCCCCACGTTAAGTCACTCCCCCTTTAAAACATAATCATCGATAACATGTAAGAAAGTTACAAATACCAGTAATCTATTTTATAATTCCCCTCTTTAATCGTTCTTTGGTTTAGAAGTGGATCATGTCACTTTTCCATGTTCATATTTCGCCTAGAAAAGACTGACACTATGATCACATTGATCTCAAAGTGGCTGTGCCCCTGATGTGACAAAGATACTTGACATCTATTGACTGCAGCTTGGTCTGTGGACAACATGTTCCTGACCAACAATCCACATTTACAAGGCTGAACTTTACACATTAAATCTAGGAACAAGATGTCAAAAAACACTAAAATGTAGTTTGGAGGCAAATGTAATAAACAGAAATGTTTAAAAGAGAAAATGGTGAAGAATAAGGGAGGCATATAATGCAGACAGAGAGACGGAGAAGGCAAAGTAATTAATTTTCTCCTCAAAGACTGGTTGGAGTGTGATTTAACAGTTGAGAGAGCAGCTGATTTCTGAAGGGAAAGCTCTCTAACCTGCCAGAGTACAGCTGCAGCAGAGACAGGCCCCACATACACGCACAAACACATGCGCATGCACACACACACGCACAGGGCATACACGCAGCCAAATCAGCCTAGCTGCAGTGGGACGTTGAAATCCACCAAATATCTACTTAATTTGAGTGGAGCAACATTTATTACAATGAAGATCCAATTAAATCATTTTAGGGAATCAGGGGAAATGAGATATCGTATTGGTGGCTGCTGAGCCAGCAGCTTTGGGTATGCCATAACAAAAACACTTTAAATAAATGTCTTTTACATTATAACGGCAAGACAGATCATCACTGGCACTAAATTCTCCCGCTGCTGGGACTCCTACTACACTGACTTCAAAACTTTTTTGGCATCTGACTACTTTGTCAACTAAATATCTTAAATATCTTAACAGACAAACGCTTCTGATGCAAAGCCTAATTTAATTAAATTAGACATATTATGCTGTTTTCCCAGCACTTAGCACTGAAACACAACATATAAGTTATATTGCAAACCAAATATTAATCTCAGATGGCTTGATAATAGAAATGGTATGATTGGCTTCCTGTTCAAATTTTATAGGGTTTATAGGCCCCATGTCTCTAGAGGCGAGGACATCGTGTATGACTCAAAGACTGCAACTAAGTACAAGGAGCGGGGAAAGGGGGTAGATGAGAACAGATATTTTGTGACCCCTCAAGTCTCAAATGCCGTACATCACTACATTACTTAAACACACATGGATCAATCAAAAGTCTGAGTAAAGCAGTGTTCAGCAACAACTCTCAGAGCCGCTGGAAGTAATTTTTAACAGGGAGTGCTGTGAAGCGAGCTAGCTAGTTAGCTAGTAAGCGGAAAAACTGACATTGACAGCATAATTTCAGTAAACCTGCATGTTTAGGCCTAAAAATAATTAAATTAAAATCTAAATACACATAATAGCCTACATGTGTCAAAATCACTTCCCAAAATATTCATATATAATTCATAAAATTATGCTAAATATTTGAATACATAAAAAAAAAAAATCTCTCTCTTGCCACTAGGGAATGCTGCAGCACCCCCAGCACACCCGCTTCCCGCGGCCAAGACCACTATAACATGAACGCAGTTAAAAGTTGAATTAGCAGAGTATGTCTCCTTTAACCAATACACTGCAACCAACTCAACTGACTCCGACCCCTAACCACTTGGAGCTAACAGCATGTCACCTATCCCCACAAAAAGTATCACATCATCACTATAGCAGCTCACCCCTCTGTCCCTCATCACCATCTGAAGACGAGATCATCTACTTTCACTTCATCCCAATCTGAGCACAGTGAGTATGATTACAGACCCCTCTCCCCTATATGCCATCACCACATCAGCAGGGGGACTACTTCTGATTTGCAGTGCTGTCACCACCTCATGACAGGTTAAAATCTCCTCTGGCCCATCAAACACCTTGGTTACAGCACCACTGAACCTGCCTCAACCTGCGAAGACACAAGGAGCCGTATTACTGCATCTAACACTCCCCACCTCATCATCACGACAACAGAATCACCCAAAAGAATAGCACTTCATCCCCTACAAATACCAGCTGTTACCTACCAGTGGGGCTCAGCAGAGAGTGGAATAAAACTCTTATTTCTTTTTCCCAAAGATTTTTGGTTTATTTATTTAAAAGGGCACTATGTAACTTATCTGGTGGAGGGTGCAATGCCTACTTGTATCCATAGAGATGTTATTGCTTTCCAACAATCAACTCAACAATGAGTCCTCTATGAAAGATGATTAAATGTAAAACAGACATGCTTAAGGCAATACTGTGGAACATTCCTGGCAAAGCAATAGCATATCTTTGGAGACCATCAAATTGTGAACCCTCCAGCATATATATTTTTTTCTCTGCCCAAATTTAACCCAACACCAAATAAAAGCCAAAATGACTTCACTCTCCATTACCCATTATAAGTGTATGGAAAAACACACACAAAGATGCTATTTTCAGCCTTTACAGTGAGGCTCACATTCAGTAATCAATTTGGATGGGTCTGTCGTCCCTCTGCCTTCTAGGTTACACTAAGTTCATTCAGAATAAATTATGAATCTGAAAAATGCATCTTGTCTCGTGAATGGGCTGCAGTAGACATTATCCAACATTAAGCGCCACTCACATTGTATGAATCCCTGATGACAGATCCATGCTGCGATTTGCCTTGATGAACCCTTAATATATGCACGTTAAACATCCAGCCACTCCACTCCACCACGTTTAGAAATGTCTTCCGGTGATGGAGGGATGGTACAATAAATGAGGGAAGCTGGATTTCAGGACCTTCTGCAAAATGGAGGTCATGGGAGAAACAGAAATGGAATCTTAACTACTCATAAAAAGCGCCGCGCCACAATCTAAAGCTCTCAAATCCATCAGTGAATGTAAACTGCAACCCAAAGCTGGTTCATCATTGTTATTGCTTTTACTGATATGAAGGCTGAATACTGAACACTTAGAGGCTATATTCAGGCACTCTTACTGGCGTTGTATGGAATAAATATGGAATGGGTGATTGTGGGAGTGCTTACCCCGAATGGGACTGCAATGAGAAAATGCGCACTTAAAGATATTGAAGAGGGCTAAACAGAGATGTATGGTTTAAAAACGCACAATAGCTTTTCCCATTAGAATTCAATGGATTTACTGCATTTGGTTTGGGAGATTTGTTAAAAGTTTAAAAGGAAAGAGATTGCTGTTGAAAATGTCCCACTTTCTCAACTGTAATTGATGTGACAAACTGCTGATTTGAAATAATTAGGAAAATAACAGTGATCAGGCTTAATTTTCAAAGATTTGCAATTTTAGATGTGAAGTCTAAATCTGGTAGTCCAATAAACACCTTTGCTTAAAGCTATGCAGAAATTTCACAAATAAATGTGTTAAAACATTTCTGATTCATACCAGCTGAAATATTTTGGGCAAACTTGTTCATATTTCACCATTGCTGAGGAAGTTAGAGAATGTGCAGTGTTAAAATACCTCAAGTTGAATGTTTTTGCTGGCCAAATATATATATTTTTAGATAATTTTTTGCCTAAATTCTCCAAGCTATGCAATCCCTATGTCAAATGTTGTGCAGAAAACAAACCATATTTCCATTACATACACCACAAACCTGCCAATTTTTCTGCACCAAACAACACCCAAGCTCCTCACCTCACCTCCATTAAAACTCAGATTAAATCAGAGCCAATTACTGTGAGGCAGCACGGCTTTTATTTCCTTAACAAGGAGGGATGGCAATTAATTATGTACCTATTAAAATGAGCATTTCCTCTGTGGTTCTATACAAAACCCAGAGAGCACAAGGCCATGAGGGCAGTGTAGGGGAACTAGGAGGGAGGAGCTAGGACAATGGAGGAAGGAGTTAGGAAGAAGGAGCTAGGAGGGAGGAACTAGAAGGTAGCTCTTAGGAGGAAGGAGCTAGGAAAAAGGAGAAAAAAGAGGGAAGAACTAGGAGGAAGGGGTTAAGAGGGAGGAGCTAGGAGGAAGGAGATAGGATGAAGGAAGAAAGAACTAGGACAGAAGACGAAAGAGCTGGGAAGAAAGAGCTAGGAGGGAGGAGCTAGGAAGAAGGAACTAGGAGGGGAAGGGCTAGGACAAAGGAGCTAAGAAGGAGGGGAGGAGGTAAGAGTAACAGCCGCTAGCACCACATCCATCTGGGCCGCTGACAAATTCGATCAGACAGTGGGGTTCTCAGTCACTCAGCCCATCTGAATATACACCC